ACATCCCTAGCTTTATTTTCTTTGTTATCTCGATCGTCTCAAAAGTAAATAAATAAGTTGCAATTCTTGGAAGCTTGCTTACATCCATAAAAAATGTATTTCCTTTTCTCAAATTTGTGTACGTATCTTGATTGAATTACCTTGTATTTTCCTATTAACAGCATTCAGTAGTTGAAGCTAACCAAAGTCGTTAGCTTGTCAGGTCTCCAGCAATCAGTTTGTTTCAGAAATTACATCTGAAACACTGTGCTACCAGTTTATACAATGATAAATTTAGAACTAAAAATCTGTCATGTTTTGAAGGGGAAAAGGAAAGAAATATATATATTGAAGCAACTTGTGATACTTTACAAAAACCCAAACATGTCCTAAATTTAATATTTGTTTTTTGCGAATTTGCGCCTTCCGCATTTGCCAAAATGTCGTTCCATCTACCTCCCATTCTCTACCTAGAAATTTCACACTTTGCAGAATGCCCTAGCTGCTCAATCTCCCAGTTTAGCTTAGGCGCAACACCTTCATGACGAGGAAAATACTCCTGAAAAATGAAAATGTCATGTACAGCTAGCATTGAAAATTTTATGTCATAAAAGGCTAGTAAAATTATTTGAGGTAAACATTTTACCTCTAATTTATTCACCAATTCCTTAGCATTTGGAGCCGATACAATTATGTGGCGAGCACTTGGGTCAATGAAACCTTCTTCAACTGCTTTATCAATGAAGGATAGCAATGTGTTGTAGTAACCATCTACATTCAACAATCCAACCTGGAAACCTCCAAGAAAATCAAGTGTTCAATATGAATGAATTTATTTATTAACATAACTTTTTAATGTAGATTTTGTGATATACTATCCGAAATGGAGACCAGAATTATATTTTATATCACGCAAAAAATAAAAATAAAAATAAAATTACCGGCTTGTTGTGTATCCCAAGTTGAGCCCAAGTGATGACTTCAAGCAATTCTTCAAGAGTCCCATACCCCCCTGCACAAAACAATTAATTTTAGCTCTATACTTAGTTTCAATAATTATATTCCTTGCATCATTTTACGGCAGTTGAAACATAATAGTTTTAGCCATTCTTCACCTGTCAAAAGCAAGAATGAAAAGAGAAACATGCAACTATATCCTAAAGATTTTTATTTCTTCTTTTGTGCAGACTATGTGAAATCTTATGATTTTGTGATGAGAAGTACTCGCGAAAAACTAAGAAACTATAAGACACCCCATTTCATAAGAATGGTACTGACAAAATATAATGGTGGAAAAGAAAACTAACATTATTACAGTAAGTTATCTAACCAGCTGAGTTAATGATTGATAGGCATTTCAGGATTCATTCAAAGACTTGATCTTAGAAATAAATAAATTTTAGTCAAAACTGAAGTAAGATAAGCATCAACTTTCAAACAAGAAGTCAAAAGCCACTCAAGCATTAGGTTCCACCTTCACCTTTTTTTTCTTTTTTTTGGAAGAGCAAATATGCTATATATGAGGTAGACATTATTGAGAGCCTGGTGATATAAATCACCTTCACTTTCACATTATTTATTTATTTATTTTAATTTATTAGTTAACTTACCAGGCAAAGCAATAAAGGCATCAGATTGCCTGGCCATCTCAGCCTTCCTTTGGTGCATACCTGCAACTGCCTTCACCTCTCCTACAGTTTCACCAGTTATCTGCAAAAAAGCTATCCCAATAAAAACAAAAAAACTAAAGAGGATAATTGCTTATTTTTCTTAAGGGGAATATCTATGGGTCAAAAACCAGGGGAGCAATGGTGAGGGTTGTATTCATTTATTACCATGGTTTCTTCGTTAAGATAAAGCTTTCATGAAAGTAAAGTCAGAACTACTTAAAACAACATAATTTCTATAATTTGTAAAATAGTTTTTGATAAGATGTATCTTTGAGCTAACAAATTAATTAGATCTGACTAACAAATATACCAAAATGAAATGCAAAGTTTTCCAAATTTAAACCTTAAGCAATCAGAATACAATAGGCAATTAGACTTTGGAAGTAAAAGGTAATTAAAGAATATTAGAAACAGGGGAAGAAGACAAAGTAGAGACCATCCAAGTTTCTGAAAAAGTGGGTATTTTTAACTTATTTATTAGAAATATTTTAAAGAAAAAGATGGTTGTCTTTTAGTCACTGGAGACGTACCTCTCTATCCATGAGAGTCTTGGGAATAACTCTGCACAGTAGAGACACAAAATAGCATGCCACGAAGATTAGTCGCTGAAGAATTATTAAATGCTAAAATATAAATCAAATAAACAAAAGTATAAACTATATGAAAAAAAATAATTACATACCCGATGACATGCCTCCCACCATCATAAACAGCCTGAGACACCAAGCCCATCAGTCCAACACTGCCTCCACCATACACCAAATCTATGTTTTTTGCCACCTTCCAAAATTTGGAAACAAACAATTGTTATTATTATTAAATTTTGATAATTACCCATGTCTTAAATTTAGAGGATATGAACAAAAAGACACAAGAGAACAGAACCCAGAAAAGAACAGAGAAGTTCAATGCCTCTCAGTACGTTAATCTATATATATACAAAGGGGTAGAACTCCTTGGTGTACTTGCCATTGGTACTAGCTTAATATTTTTGAGGGTTTGAAGAAACAAAGACTTTCAAATTTTATAACAAGTCGATAGATGCCCGTTGGCAACTGTATAAAGAAGAAATGAGGGCCACAAGTGCACTCCAAAAGGCATTTTTGAGAAAGCATTGTATGAATTAAAAATTTCCACTTGCAACCTGTAAACTTAAAGTACAAAAAATTGGATTTTAAAGCAAAACCCAGAGTTTTAAAGGAAAAGAAAAAAAAAGGAAGAAAAGGAGAGAGAAATTACTAGCTCCATTGCAAGCTCTATTGCTGCGTCTTGATAGCTTCTCTTCTTCCCTTGACTACTCCCACAAAATACACAAATCCTCTTGAATTTGGACTCAGCCATTTCTTTTTCTCTCTCCATTTCCTCTGTTTTCTCTCTCTCTCTCTCTCCCTCTCTCTCTCTTATCTCTACTCTGTTTCTTTGGAGCTTCCTCTGTCTCCTCAAGAAACAGAGACAAATATCAATTACACAAATCCTTGCTACTTTTTAGTGCGCCCTCCTTGCGTTTATAAAAAAGGAGGGCACACGTGTGGAGAAGCCCTCACACGCGTGAAAGGGCTACCACCTGTTTTTTTACTCCTTTCAAAAAAAAAAAAATTTCTTTCAGGATATGGATGCTTATGATGTGGGAAAATAAACAGGGTTGAGTTGTCACGGTTGGAATTCGATCTCCCAAAAAAGAACAAAAGGAGAACAACTTTAATGACTTATTAAATACGACAAGAAAGTTTAATTTGGTTGGAGATTATTGGCTATTATTGATTTAATTTGGATGTTAGCTAGATTAACCTAAGATCACGATCATCGGAGGCGATTAGGGTGAAATTTTACGCAATATATATCTGAAATTAGGTTTAGTAGAGGTCTTGAGCCTCCATGGAGATTGACCTGATGACCTATTACCTTTTAAAGTACGAAGAGATTTTTAATAATATTTTAAGAACATATATGCATATATTACATGTTGACATAAAAAATAGTCAATGTATAAAGCAATTATTAAAGCAATTCCGGTTTTAATTAGACTTATCATATCGCAACCTAGCTAAAAAAAAGATTTTGCTTCATTCATAGTATCATATATTTAAGTCGACGTCTTCAAGCCTCTTGTTTTCATTACATTTTCTCAAGTGTGCATATGTTGGTACTTATCCGCTATAAAAGTCGGTACTTTTTTAGGCAATATTTGATTTTATGCAAATGATATCCTAGTCATGCTTATATAACACAGGAAACTAATTTTTCTAATCCATCTGAAAGAAAACATATATGATACTATCATATGCTCCCCTTGAGTGCCATGAAAAGGGACCACACGCTTCTATCCTTGAACAGGGTGAACAGAGTGTAACACTAATGATAGAAGAGAATGCACTAGGTCCCCAATGATCACATAGCATTGATGACTAGGATAAGATGAACAGATGAACTGAACTCAACAAAATTTTAAGACCCAATTCTCTTCACCAATCAATTTTGGGTTAATTGTATATACATCCGTGTACTATATTCAAGGGTAAGAAATTTATTATCAGAAAGCATTTTTATGAGAACTTAAGGTCCACTTATTTCAAAGGCGGGTTCTTTTTGTTTTCCGGGTGTTATTCAAGAACTCTTTCCATACAGCGAAACAAAAAGAGATCTCTCTGCAGCATACTATGTGACGAGTACAGATAATGGAGAGGTAACTTCATATTTGAACTCCAAAGACTTTCAAATGATTATAAAAAGGAAAGGTGTAGAAATAACAGCTAACATCCTGCGATACATGAAGTATATTTGTAATTTTTTTTTTGGATATACAAACCCTAGACAACCCCTTGGCACAGTACGTCACAGGAAACACTTAAATTTGTTATTCACACGCTCTCCCCATTCCCCCATGCCCCTAACTCATGCACCAGACCAAGCATGCTCTTCTCCATCCCACGCCAATTCCCTTCCCCCCACTAATTCCAAAAACACTACAACAAGCTTAATAAAATAGAAAATTACAACACCCCATGTCTGATTTGAATATAGGTTAGTGCTTATATTATAGGGGGTGCCCTTCTCTAAGTCCACATTGTTAGTTAATATAATGTAGTTGCCATTCTCATTGAAAAATGAGAACCAAACATATTTTAACATTTTGAGATCCCCAAAACTCCTTTGTTCTTGGCTCTTCTTCTACAAACCCTTTACAAAATCTTCCTTTTTTCCCTTTGTGCTTTTTGTAGCTTTAGAATGTATTAGAAAGGTGCTTTACTTTGTTAAGAGACTGAACATGCTTTTAGAGTTTGATTGGATACTAGGAAGAACAAGGCGAAGAAAAGAGTAATTATTTGTCATTCCTTCATTAATTTATGTAAAGTTAACTTTCAACCTAAGGTTTCACTATAACTTTTCATCATCTTAAAGTAGCCTAAGTTGATGTTGGCTAGTTGAAGTGGTAATGCTCGAATAAAGGTGTACAACAATGTGTCGTATAGATGGAACTATATATGAGAATAAGCATAGGGTAATTAAAAAGTGCTAAATTCGCCTTAATCCAATACTTCCATCACATAATTACATAGTGTTATAGCCGTTTTAGTGATGGAAAATAATTCTAATCAATGGCAAACAAGTGTCCAACATTATGCATAATCAAATCAGCACCTCAAGATAATCAAAGACCCAATTTGGTCGACTCGACACGCCGACATTTTGCGAGGACGATTCAAAAGGCATCACATGTCGACGACCCGAAAGACATTACGTGTCGTTCCTTGGCTGAGTCGACTGCTTAACCACTCCACTCGGCCGACACCTTGCGAGGGCGACTTAAAAGTTAGTACTTCTTGACCACTAGACAAGTAGAAATGCCTCGAGCCTCGAACCCCTCCTGTGCACTGATGACCAATCACCTCGCAATAAATATCGTTAAATGCATTATGGGTGCCATCATTCCTCTGCCACCAATAGTATTTATGACACATCGGACCACGTCGGCACCACAAACCCCCATCACGTCGCATTAAACACCGAAAGTGACCTCTTCTCCACTTGTCGACCGACACATGTAAAGTTGAAGCTGACTTGGCCGCCAGCCTATGCCTGACCGAAGTTACCATCCTACCCCTCCTTCCACTACTATAAAAGAAGATACTGTTTTCAATTATAGGGTAAGCTTTTTTCTACTACTCTCTGAGCTTAAAAACTACTACAATCCATTTTACTTCTCTACACAAGCAACATACTGACTTGATCGTCGAAGAAACAACATGAGAATCACACCCCGCCCTCTTACGATTTGTTATTTGTGTAAGAAAGAACAACTTTCTCAAGAACCAGACATTCAAAAAGTTAGAGGACCTCCGTTAATTTAATCAACTCCTTTTATTTGGCTATGTGATTCCATACATCAACACATAGTGACACATTCACAGTGTATATATTTCCCTCCGTGTTCAACATTTTTGTATACACCCAAAAAGGAAACCTCTTCAATGAGGAGAAGAGTAAAAGTGTAAACTATTAGGATCAGCTTGGCAACTTCTCCCCAAACCAGTTTCAATCTAAATCACTTTGCTATGTGAAAAACCAATCATTGGTGTGCACCGACTAAGTACTGTCAATATCTCCTCAATCTATAAGACATTTCGGTCAAGGCAAAGATCTCCTCGATCTGTTCAACCTTTCGGTTCAAAACCTTTTGGTTAAAACCTTTTTGTTCAGGCAAAGATCTCATTGATCTGTTAAAACCTTTCGGTTCAGGCAAAGATCTTTCGATCTGAAAAACCTTTCGGTTAAAATAAAAATCTTTCGATATGTAAAAACCTTTCGGTTCAGGGTTATGTTCCTTTAGGCACAGACTAGAGCTTGCACGCTTTCAAACTCTGCAGCAGCAGCACAATAGCTTAATAGATTTAACACTTCAATGTGTTCGAGTATCTCTCAAGTGCTACCCCAAGGGGCACTATTTATAGGACTCTAAGGCCAGTTCAAGGGTCACAAACAGTCATAAATATAACTGTTACAAATCATAATGGCAATTATGATTGTAACAGTAAATGAATTGATTGTTATAACTGCTGAATACAGACTTAATTGCTACATGTAGTAACGCCTGAACGCGAGGTTCGCGTTTCTAAGCAACGCAAGGGTCGCATCGAGACTCGCGAACGTGAGGGTCACACCTCGTGTGAACGCGAGAGTCGCGTTCCCTTGCTACGAAGCAACCTGCGACGTACCCACAGTGGTGCTACCTAGCCTCAATGCCTCTGTGCGAAGTGGGAAGTGCGCCTTACAAAGCGCAACTTAGCGCCTCAGGCCGATTAGTCCCGATCCCCAACCCATTGGCCCACGGCCTACTAGAACTTATGAGGGATTAATTGAATAAAAATAATTCTCGGCTTGCTGTTGGCAAGTCTCTAACACATGACCTTTTGAAACACTAAAACTTTAACTTTCCTCTACGCTACTAAGGATTTCTGAAAAATATCAGTAATTAATAAATATATAGTTTGAAAACTCATTTTGGAAAGCGGTTTTGACCAAAAAAATCTAACATATATTACGTAAAGGACCTTAGATCTAACATATATTACGTAAAGGACCTTAGTCACTCTCTTTCGCATCTTCAGAGCACCAAATTAATCCAAAACCTTAATCTGTTAGGTATTGATTCAATTTTTTATTTAATTCTAATGTTTTTTTATTTTCTTTTAATATATGATATATATGCTGACATATGTAATACTAACACAAGCATAGGGAATATAATTGTAATAATTGACAGCCTTCTCCTTTATAATTGTAATATTGTTTCGATTTATTGGTGCTTATATTGGTTTTGTCATTGCTTATATGAAATAACTTACCAAAAACTTATATAACTAAACTTTCTACAACGATAAATCAGATATATTTTCTTATGTGCATGCATATAAATCCCTTTTACGTACACACTATATATGCATAAAACTCATATCCAACTTCATCTCATTTCAATATCATAAACCATTAATGATGTCATGGGGTGGTTCCCAAAAAGAATGTTTGATGTGCTTAAATTCATGTAAGTTTCAAGAATTCACAGTACTTGCAGGTCAACAATATTTGTGAGCCAAATTAAAATTCTTTCCCACGAACATTATGCTGCTTATCCCCAAACATTGGTGTAAACTTACGGTATACCATGCTCACATGCTGCATTTATTGTATTAGTATATTCCATTGATCAAGTGGATGAATGAGTCCATCTAAATAATATATAAATTCTTCCGTCTCTAAAGATCCTTTTTGCCTGCTCAACCCCCGACTGCAGAGTACATGCGCTTCTATATCCCCAACGCTCCCGAGCTCATACGCCCATAACTTGTCTTGTACGTCACATTCCCCAATTGAGCTCCTACATATAAAAAACATGAGTTATGAAATACTAGGCCTTAGGTTTTCCTTTATTTTATAAAGTTTTTAATATGATAACACATAGGCAAATGCTAAACACGAGCAAGGGCATCATAA